CTCCACCACAAGTCATACTGTGAAGATATAACCTTCAATATCAATATTTTGAAGACAGGTTCTCTAAGGAAGTAATTAACATGAAAGCCTGACCTAAATACAGGACTGTTGGCCTTACAAGAGGACAAGAGGCTGGAGTTGTCCCCCCCACCTACCTCCGCTCCACTCTTGCCCCTCTATTTTGTTACAGCAGCTGGAGGGGGAAAACTGGCTCTTTACAGCATTATTTTAAAAAAATCAGATGATGTTTTAATTTCAACTTGGGACATGCTCCTCTGCCACAATGGCCCTCATCTTTCTGTCTGTCGATCAGTGAAATTGAAAATATGCTCAGTTCCACAATCCATGGTTTTTTGGCTTCTGTGTCTTGGTAGTGGAAGCAGAGGGCAGAGATGAGGTTGTAATTCAGAGGAGATCTTAATGGGGAAGTGAGGTGAGATGGAAGAGTAAGGAGACAGGAGAGGAACTGATGAACTCTAATGAGAATGAACTCTGGGATTTGGATCACTGGGTTCAAACTCTATGTCTTTTACTAGCAATAAAAACTTTGGAAAATTATTTTATTTCTCTGTGGTTCAGTTTCTTCATCTGAAATATCAGGAAGAGAATAGATATAATAAAGCCTACAGAACTGATGTTGGAATTAAGTAAGATAGCATAAATGCAGGCACTAAGCAAATGAAAAATGTTAAAAATCATTAGCTGAATTAAGAATACTGCTGCTCAGACAAATTTATCTGCAAATTACACTACTGATTGACATGATGTCATAGGTATAAAGAAATAATGTAGAAAGAAGTTGTTATTGTTTAGGCAGGGTCTCACTATGTAGTTCAGGCTCATGTTAAATTCACTATGTTGACCAAGCAAGTAGGAAACTTGCCAGTCCTGTACCTCATCATCCTGACTGATGGGATTACAGACATGTACCACCACACCTGGCTGAGAACCTTTTCTTTTCCCTTAAAAAAAGGTATCTTGAGTCGGGCATGGTGGTGCACGCCTATAATCTCAGCATTTGGGAGGCTGAGGCAGGAGGATCTTATGAGTTCTAGACCAGCCTGGACTACAAAGTGAGCTCGAGGCCAGCCTGAACTGCACAGTGAGACCCTGGCTTTAAGAAAAAAGGCATTCTTTCTCACATTAATAATAAACAACAAAGCAATTTCCCACTGAGTAAGTGGGCACCTTAGTATCTTAAGTACTGGTGGTTACAATCATGCACAACACATAAATACATCAAATACAGACCCAGTCCTAGCCCAGGTCCGGTGAGCGTGTAGAGAGTTTCCTGCTACCCTGCGCCGGCGGGACCAGTCCCAGCCCAAGCGCGGTGTGGGCCGGACCCTCTCCCAGCCCCTCGGGCCGCCCCCCACCACTCCGCAGTGCCTCCCCCACCCCGCCCGCCGAGTAGGATTTTCTGCCGA